ACGGGGGAAAAAAGCCCAGGAAAACAGTGGGCCAAGGGGTTTGAGGGAAAAAAAGGTAATCATTTTCACACCTAAATTAATGAATACATCAAAAATCAGTGGATAATACCAGCACTAACCCAATAGTAACAGCTGCCCCTAAATAGTGAAATACACTTATAAATAGTACATTTTTGAATAGGTAGGCGCTAATTCACTGAATCAAATATCATATTTTTCATGTGCACTCTTGAATGCCCGATCGGTTTGCAACAAACTCACCGCCATCCACGACCTCTTTGTCTCCCACTCCCTTAACCTCCTAGCGATCACCGAAATCTGGATCCAAGCCTCTGACTCTACCTCCCCTGTGGCACTCTCCTATGGGGGGTCTCATCTTGGCCCACTCACCCAGACCCAGCGGTCGAAAAGGTGGTGGGTTTGGTATGCTCCTGTCACCCCAGAGCACCTTCCAAGTCCTCCCAAACCCTCCCTCTCTATCCTTCTCCTCCTTGGAGGCCCACTGCATCCGACTATTCTCTCCAATCCCTCTGAGGATTGCAGTAATCTATCAGCCTCCTGGACCCGTGTCCTGCTTTCTCGACGACTTCTCCGCCTGGCTACCCTTCTTTCTCTCCTCCGAGCTACCCACCATCATCCTTGGTGACTTCAACATCCCTATCAACATCAATAACCCGGCTACATCCCAATTTCTCCACTTAACCTCTTCTTTTACACTCACACTGTCAGGGCTCCCGGGTGAGACCAGAGGTGTGTGACTGACGCAGGGAAACGCAGACTTCAGATATGTTATAAACAATGTAATTTATTAACGCTAACAATACAAACATAAACGCAGTGCAATACTAAAACACACAGTGCAAAGAAACCAAACCAACCACCCACAGATAACAGTACATACAATGCAAGCGTCGTCAGGCAGGCCGGGTCAATATCAATCGGGCAGGTAGGTAAAGGGGGAGCAAGCGGAGAATGGTCAGGGTCACAAGCCAGGTTCAGCAGGTAGCGGGCAGCGTGGTACAGAGGGTCAGGCAGAGGAGAATGGTCAGACAAGCCAGGGATCAGGAGCAGGAGAATGGTCAGACAAGCCAGGGATCAGAGCAGGGTCAGCAGAGAATCAGACAGGAACAGGGAACAGGGAACAGGGCCCAGGAGAAACACAACACCAAGGCAGAGTCTGCAGGTCTGAATGTCCCTTAAATACACCAGTATAATTAGTTCCAGGTGTTTGACTGGCTGCAAGGTTGAGTCTCTGATTGCTGGGAGCACCCGCTGGCCAGCCCTGGTACTGCAGCTCATAAGGCAGGTGAGTCCCACTATTGCTGGCCAGTCCATTCCTGACAGTACCCCCCCCTCAAGGAGCGGCCTCAGGACACTCCAAACAGTCCTAGCTGGGCAAAATGTTCCACCGCCCGGGTCTGGTAACTGGCGGGATATCAAAGACTGGCACACCGGGCAGGACTCTGGGCAGCGGCACACCGGGCAGAGGCACATCGGGCTGGACTCCTGGCAGAGGCACATCGGGCTGGACTCCGGGCAGAGGCACATTGGGCTGGACTCCGGGCAGAGGCACATTGGGCTGGACTCCGGGCAGAGGCACATCGGGCTGGACTCCGGGCAGAGGCACATCGGATTACCAGGCGAAGCAGCAGGCAGCGGGCCACCGGGCGGAGCAGCAGGCACCGGGCCCCCCGACGGGGCGACAGGCACCGGGCCCCCCGGCGGGGCGACAGGCATCGGGCCCCCAAGCGGAGCGGCGGGCCCCCAGGCGGGGCGACAGGCATCGGGCCCCCAGGCGGGGCGACAGGCATCGGGCCCCCAGGAGGGGCGACAGGCATCGGGCCCCAGGCGGGGCGACAGGCATCGGGCCCCCAGGAGGGGCGACAGGCATCGGGCCCCAGGAGGGGCGACAGGCATCGGGCCCCCAGGCGGGGTGACAGGCATCTGGCCCCCAGGCGGAGCGGCAACCGGACCCCCAGGCGGAGCGACAGGTCTCAGGCCCCCAGGCGGAGCGGCGGGCACCGAGTCACCAGGCACGACAGTGGGCTCCGAGTCAACTGGCAAGACTGCGGGCACCGAGCCGTCTGGCAAGACTGCGGGCACCGAGCCATCTGGCAAGACTGCGGGCACCGAGCCGTCTGGCAAGACTGCGGGCACCGAGTCGTCTGGCAAGACTGCGGGCACCGAGTCGTCTGGCGGAACAGCGGGCACCGAGTCGTCTGGCGGAACAGCGGGCACCGAGTCGTCTGGCGGAACAGCGGGCACCGAGTCGTCTGGCGGAACAGCGGGCACCGAGTCGTCTGGCGGAACAGCGGGCACCGAGTCGTCTGGCAAGACTGCGGGCACCGAGTCGTCCGGCAAGACTGCGGGCACCGAGTCGTCTGGCAAGCCTGCGGGCACCGAATCACCAGGCACGACGGTGGACTCTGACTCAATTGGCACGACAGCGGGCACCGGGTCATCAGGTACCGGATTGCCTGGCTCGACAGCGGGCATCGGGTCACCAGGTATGACAGCGGGCACTGGGTCACCAGGCATCAGGTCATTTGGCTTGCCAGCGGGCACCTGCGTCATCTGGCAAGGCAGTGGGCACCGAGTCACCAGGCACGACAGTGGGCTCTGAGTCAACTGGCATGACAGCGGGCACCGGGTCATCAGGTACCGGATTGTCTGGCTCGACAGCGGGCATCGGGTCACCAGGCCTAATAGGATCGTCAGGCTGGATCAGTTCATCATGCTGGGTAGAGGCTTCAGGCTGAGTAGAGGCTTCAGGCTGAGTAGAGGCTTCAGGCTGAGTAGAGGCTTCAGGTTGAGTAGAGGCTTCAGGCTGAACCACGGAAGGCAGGTTCACCGGTTTGGATACTGGCAGGATGGTATTGGTTGGAAAGAATTTTCGCTTTTTTCTGGTTTTAACTACTGGAGCACTGCAAGTAAACGCAGGTCTGCAAACGAATGGAGCAGCTGGAGACAGAGAAGAGCTGGAGGATGGAACAGAGGAGGGAGCAGTTGCTACAGAGGGCTTTTTTACAGGGTTAAAGGCAGGATAGGTGCAGCGAGTGGGAACAGGGGTACTGACATGCGGTAGATAGCAGGGCAGGAGGAGCTGTTGGGAATGCAGGAATAGAGCTTTGAGGAAATAGATTAGAAGCAGGACTGGGTTTTTGTAAGCTGACTGAGGCTGGGTGCAACAAATCTGTCCATGTCTGCAGTATGGGTTGAACAAAGCTGAGCTTACACAAAGCCTGTCTGACTAAAGACTGCACTGCGTATAAACAATCTCTTAGTACCTGTGGTGAACATGCAGCATAATGCTCCAAGAAGCAATCCACATCATCCTCTAATAACCATACCAGGGACTCTACCTGGTCGGCACTAAATGGCGGCAAAAATTTCATCCCTGCATTCGGGGGAACCAGATGAAACCAACTCCGCACAAATCTGAATCAATGGCTGCACCTCAGAGAATTCTGTGCCCTGATCTACTAGAACATGAGCGAGCCGTATACATTCTAGCAGTTCATCCCGGGGATACTCCTTCAGAGTTTGATAAGCATACTCTCTGTCATCAAACACTAGCAGATATAAATACACAACCTCATCAAGATCCATCCTTCCCATCAACAAGCCAAGATGGCTTCCCTGTGCAGCCACTTCTGGTCAGGATTGGCCTTGGTGTAATGTCAGGGCTCCCGGGTGAGACCAGAGGTGTGTGACTGACGCAGGGAAACGCAGACTTCAGATATGTTATAAACAATGTAATTTATTAACACTAAACAATACAAACATAAACGCAGTGCAATACTAAAACACAGTGCAAGCGTTGTCAGGCAGGCCGGGTCAATATCAATCGGGCAGGTAGGTACAGGGGGAGCAAGCGGAGAATGGTCGGGGTCACAAGCCAGGTTCAGCAGGTAGCGGGCAGCGTGGTACAGAGGGTCAGGCAGAGGAGAATGGTCAGACAAGCCAGGGATCAGGAGCAGGAGAATGGTCAGACAAGCCAGGAATCAGAGCAGGGTCAGCAGAGAATCAGACAGGAACAGGGAACAGGGAACAGGGCCCAGGAGAAACACAACACACCAAGGCAGAGTCTGCAGGTCTGAATGTCCCTTAAATACACCAGTATAATTAGTTCCAGGTGTTTGACTGGCTGCAAGGTTGAGTCTCTGATTGCTGGGAGCACCCGCTGGCCAGCCCTGGTACTGCAGCTCATAAGGCAGGTGAGTCCCACTATTGCTGGCCAGTCCATTCCTGACACACACAGTGTATACAGTCCACCATCCACTCCAACGAGAACACCCTGGACCTTGTTTTCTCTCATCTCTGCACTCTCCACAACCTCACAAACACCCCCTTTCTTCTCTCTGATCACAACCTCATTACCTTCTTCGTATCCTCGTCCTCAAACACCTATCCCTCCAAACGTCAAACTATCACCAGCAGAAACCTCCACAACTTGAATCCTGCCCCTTTCCACTCTGCAGCTGACCAACTTTACGACAGTATCCTTCCCCTGTCTTGCCCTGACCTGGCCACTACTGTTTATAACAACTCGCTATCAGCCACTCTAGATGACGCAGTCGTGCGCTGGAGCGACTATGGCGCAAGACCAGATCCCAACAAGCATTCACCAGATATAAATCCGCCTTCCTCACCTACACTTCCTCCCTTCACGCTGCCAAGCAAGCCTACTTTGTTACCCTCATAAATACCTTCTCCTCCAGTCCTCGACGACTCTTCTCTACTTTTAACTCTCTACTCTCTCCGCCCCCACATCCACCCAGTACCTCACTCACCGCCCACGAGATTGCTAACCACTTCAAGATCGACGCAATTCGTAGGGACATCGCCACTGCTCAGACTTCCACCCCACCTAGCATCCCTCACACGAAAACCCCCTCAACACTCCTCTCCTTCGACCTCACCACTGCCCAGACCTCCACCCCACCCAGCACTCCTCACACTAAAACCCCCTCAATACTCCACTCCTTCGACCCTGCTACCACTGAAGAGGTCACTAAGGTCTTCTCTGAAGCCCGGCTCATCACCTGCCCCCTTGACCCTGTCCCCTCACAACTCCTACGATCACCCTCTTCCTCCATCCTATGCTCCCTCACTCACATCTTTAATCTTTTCCTCTCTACTGGCACATTCCCCTCCCTCTAAAGCATGCGCACATCACTCCCATACTTAAAAAACCCTCCCTGGATCCCACTGACCTGAACAACCTTAGACCCATCTCCCTGCTGCCATTTACATCCAAACTCCTAGAGCGCTTAGACTATAATCGCCTGTGTTGCCACCTCACTGACAACAACCTCCCGCCCCCTACACTCCACCGAAACTGCCCTACTGAAACTCACAAACGACCTGCTAACTGCCAAAGCTAATGGCCACTATTCAGTGCTCCTACTCCTCGACCTCTCCGCGGCTTTCGACACGGTTGACTACCACCTCCTCCTCAAAAAACAACTCTCTTGGACTCAGAGACTCCGCTCTATCCTGGCTCTCTTCCTATCTACCACAGCGCTCCTTCGGTGTTACCTATAACGCTGCCACCTCCTCTTCACTCCCCCTCTCTGTTGGGGTCCCTCAAGGTTCTGTCCTCGGGCCCCTTCTCTAATCCATCTACACCTCCTCCCTTGGCCAATTGATACACTCTCACGGCTTCAACTACCATCTCTATGCCGACGACACACAAATCTATCTCTCTACCCCTCACCTCACCCCTTCAGTCTCCGCCAGTATCACAAGCCTACTGAACGACATATCGGATTGGATGTCATTCCACTTCCTCAAACTAAATCTTTCCAAAACCGAGTTCCTAGTTTTCCCCCCAGCCTGCGCCCCCCCCAGCTTCTCCATCAAGACCAACAACACCACCATCGTCCCACCCCGCAAGCCAGAGTACTAGGTGTCATCCTAGACTCCAATCTGTCCTTCCAGTCTTAGGTCCAATCGTTGACAAACTCATGTAGACTTCACCTCCGCAACATCTCCAAAATACGTCCATTCCTAACCCCGGAAACCACTAAGCAACTCATTCACTCCCTTATTATATCACGACTTGACTACTGTAACTCCCTCCTCATCGGCTTACCCTACCGCAGGCTATCCCCGCTTCAGTCTATCCTGAATACTGCGGCCAGACTCATCCACCTTACTAACCGCTCCGTATCCGCCACCCCCCTCTGCCAATCCCTCCACTGGCTTCCGATTGCCCAACGGATAAAATTCAAAATGCTAACTTTGAAGTACAAAGCTGTTCATAATACTGCCCCAAACTACATCACTGATCTGGTATCCAAATACCACCCAAAACTTACTCTCCGCTCCTCACAAGACTTCCTACTCTCTAGTTCCCTGGTCTCCTCCTCCCATGCCCATCTCCAGGACTTCTCCAGGGCTTCCCCCATCCTCTGGAACTCCCTACCCCAATCCATCAGACTATCACCTACTCTCCTCACCTTTAGACGCACTCTGAGAACCCATCTCTTCAAGGAAGCCTACCCCGCCCTCAGCTAATTGCTGATTTCCTCTACTCTTCCTACCACTCCATCCCCCACAGCTATTTCCTCCTGTACCACTATCTCCTCCCTCCTAGATTGTAAGATCCAAGGAGCAGGGCCCTCGAACCCCTTGTGTATTGAATTGTATTGGTACTGTACTGTCTCGTGTACTGTCTCCCATTATAATGTACAGCGCTGAGCAAACTGTTGGCGCTATATAAATCCTGTATAATAATAATATGGTAAATAATAACAAAATGATCTAACAGCAACATAAAATGACTAATAGTCCCAAACAGAATAAAATATATATTGGACATATAATGAGTGACAGTCCCATGAAAACATAATCCCGTGAATCAAAGGATTTGATTTTGAAAATTCTTTGACCTATGGGATTATATTTTCATGGGACTGTCACTCATTATATGTCCAATATATATTTTTATTCTGTTTGGGACTATTAGTCATTTTATGTTGCTGTTAGATCATTTTGTTATTATTTGATTTAATGAATTAGCACCTACCTATTCATGAATTTACAATTTTTAAAAGTGATTTAAACTAGTACCCTACGCAATGCAGATTTTAAAGCAGGAGTTTTTACTATATACATTGCAAACACTTGTGAATCCACACTGCCTTATCAAGAAACCTCTGTAAAGTGTGTTCCCTAACTTGAGTTCCCTTGAGCTTGGAAATATATATAGCAATGTATACACTGAGAGCAGGCGTACTTGGGGGTAGTCCTATCCTCCTTAAATAACCTTAAAGGTCCATTAATCCAACAGAAGCCTAAACTCACTAAAGGCAACTTAAAACCTCCAGTGTGTGTCTGTACCAGATCCAAAAAAGCAAAAGAAATGACAGACACTAACTAGGAAGCATCAGGCAAACATGGGCAGAACAATACAAGATTTATGAAGCGCTACATTATCACTTAGACACCAGAAATCACCAGGAACAACAGAAAACGTGTTTTAAAAAAATCCTGCAGTAATATAACTTTACACAGACTTGCATATTCCTTTTTTTTTACAGTACACTAGATAAATTACTGTTTAAAAATATCACCGAATAAAAAGTATTAAAAACAAATTTCTCAGCATGATAGAATTTTGCAGTTTATGATACAGTTGATGATAATCATGTGTGATATGTCTTATGTAAGTACATGTGTTATAAAGTACCTTGGATTCTAAACTGAGGGCTTGAGAGTTTCCTGATTGCAAATTAAAGTTAATTTTAATAAATTATAGTCTGTACATAGATTATTCATTTTGGAGCCATCCCTAATAATATTAGGTTGACAGTCCCAAGTCTGGAGTGCTTCATCATATTATCAGGACTGTGCTATCCTTTGTACTGTCATAAATTAATGTTTTATTAGAAGTAGCAGTAGTAGTATTATTAATATCAAGTCAAGAGCCTCTTGCATGTGAGGATTGGTAGATGT